CGGGTTAGTTATTTTTCCCCCTGAAAAAGCCATAATTTTTAGCAAAACTTGACTGTACTTTATTGTATAAAATTTTTCTCGAATGTATCTTGTTTATAACTAAAATTCTTATGATTAGTGCAAACTATGGGTTTGTACTCAAATTAATCACTATCTTGTAAGGATTCCAGCAATGCAAGTTATATTCTGCTAAGTCAAGTTTGTGACTTTTTTTAAAGAAAACTTTAAGCCTAAAAAAAAATAATCCTGTAAAATCCATATCATTGCCATTTTGCCTTCCCTGCTGGCTGAGAGGAGGGGAGATGGGATGTTCACAGCCAGAGAGGGGAGATTAATGGCAAGATAGCAATTATTTTGAATATAAACATCCCACTAGTCATAAATATTTGGTAATTAACTTAGTACATTTCAATACAATTTTGTACTTAAAAGTACAGTCATGTTTTGCTCAAAATTATGGCCTTTTAATGGGGGAAAAACAAGAGGTTTTTGCTCATTAGATTGTCCAATTCTACCACTCTTTTGCACTCCATGTGTGAAAAAGGTCACAAATGGTCACCTGTAATAAAGCAAATTTCTCCAAGATTTATCATTGTAATGATCTAAAACATTGTTCACTCTATTATTGTAGCATATTTTACATAAAGGCAACACAGTGGTTGGAGGGCCCCACTGCCCAATGAATTACTCGGTTCTCCAACCTTGTTTGTGATTGTTTCACAACAGCATGGGTTCATGTGGCTCTTTCGGTTGTACAGGTAGTGGTTTTGATAATTTATGCGGTTCCTCAACAGTTGTGGTTGCAGTTGCGAAGCTTCGTGACATCACTAGTGTATAATGTATCTCCATATGCCCTGGTTTATTCACTGATCAGTTGTCTAAGTGCAAAAGTAGCCAAATCAAGCGATCATCTATCAATTAATTTTAAAACAGAAATTATAAAGTATGCTGTGTAAGTCTCTTGGCATGTCACCGTACCTACTGCCTCGTCACCTCACCACCTGACTCGTCACCTTACCCTTCGTCTCGTTAGCGCAGCTCAGAGTTACATTGAATTATTGATGTATTATTTTACTTTTTTAGTATTTTATGTACATTTAAAGAAATATTCATATTTGCACAGTAATTATAAATAGACCACTAGCAGAAAAAACAGCATTACCCAAACAGTTGGTCTAACCACCCATGCACCAACCATGTGGGAATGCGGCTAAATATGTTGCAATCTTCCATAACGCAGGGAACCTTTGCCCCCAGGCCCAGAGCAGAATGGTTTGGAGTGATTGTCTCCCCATTTTCTCAGATTTTCTGGTAATTGCTTTATATCATTATTTATCATTTTTATACACTTAGTACATTCGCCGTAGGCTGAAATGGTTTTTACTGTATCTTGTGTCTGAGGTGTCTCCGTAGGTGTGAGCGTATTAATGGAATTAATCTTGATTTAGCGAACTAGTTCACTAAATCAAGCGAAAAATAACAGAAAAATGCCTGCCGCTAAACCGAGAGTTCGTTATATTGGATTTCGTTAAATCGAGAGTATACAGTATTACCCCGCTTTACACGGTTTCACTTTCCGCGATTTCTCATTTACGCGGTGCCTTGCCAGAACCGGACTTTCACTTTCCACGGTGCATTTACTCATATACACGGTGAAATAAAAAAATTTTATTTTTTTTTATTTTGTTCATAAAATTCATACAAATTACCCGGCCAGAATATAATTTACATTGCTGGAATTCTTACAATATGATGATCATTTTGAATATAAACATCATGGATTTTGCATTAGACATACAAATTTTAAATCTAATGTAATAATTTGGTTTACACAAAGCAAATATTTTATCGTTTGTGCAGAATATATGAAGTTTACATTCAAAATATTCCCTGACGTGCAAGGAATCCAGAAATGTCAATTATATTATCCTAACTTTAGTCTGAGTTATTATTTATAACTAAAAATGTAAATATACTATTTTCTCCCAAAGCTTCTCTGGTAGGGAGGGAAGGAGGGAGGGACTGACCCAGCTAGGGCGGAGGTGGGGTATTTTGATTGACAGATAGTGTCCTTGAAGAATATTTCTTTGTTTATTTACTGAAGATATATGTTTTAGCTCATAAAATTCATACAAATTACCCGGCCAGAATATAATTTACATTGCTGAAATTCTTACAATATGATGATCATTTTGAATATAAACATCATGGATTTTGCATTAGACATACAAATTTTAGATCTAATGTAATAATTTGGTTTACACAAAGCAAATATTTTATCTTTTGTGCAAAATATATGAAGTTTACATTCAAAATATTCCCTGACCTGCAAGGAATCCAGAAATGTCAATTATATTATCCTAACTTTAGTCTGAGGTATTATTTATTACTAAAAGTTAAAATCTAGTATTTTCACTCAAACATTTCTCTGGTAGGGAGGGAAGGTGGGAGGTGGGGGGAAGGGTTGGGACCGACCGACCCAGCTGGCGTGAGTGTGAGGAGGGGGGGAGGCAAGGTGGGGTACTTTGATTGACAGATAGTGTTGTGAAGAATTTTTTTTTTTTATTAACTGAAGATATTTATTTTAGCTCATAAAATTCATACAAATTACTCGACCAGAATATAATTTACATTGCTGGAATTCTTACAGTATGATGATCATTTTGAATATAAACATCATGGATTTTGCATTAGGCATAGAAATTTTAGATCTAATGTAATAATTTGGTTTACACAAAGCAAATATTTTATCCTTTGTGCAAAATATATGAAGTTTACATTCAAAATATTCCCTGACCTGCAAGGAATCCAAAAATGTCAATTATATTATCCTAACTTTAGTCTGAGGTATTATTTATTACTAAACGTTAAAATCTAGAGTTTTCACCCAAACATTAATCAGAGAGGTAGGAGCTAGTGAGCTGGGAAGAGGGGGGGGGGGATTTGTGTCCATTATTTGAATGGACATTAACCTGGCGACTGTATTTCTCTTAAATATTAATTGTGTGAGCATACCATCATATAATTTGGATGTTATTTCTACTACATTGTGTCGGAAAAAGTGGAGTTTGAGGGTCGGGCCAGTCTCTATTGGAATTAATCCCATATGTTCTGTTGTTCACTTTACGCGGTTTTCACTTTCCGCGGTACCCTGTGGGTTCAATTGACCGCGTAAATCGGGGTACTACTGTATTGAATAAGACTTGAATTATAAGTAGAGATTTTTTTTTTTTATTCTTTATTTTGCATAAGTGACCAAATTACAGTAGTATACATAAGTGCTGCACTGTTTACTGTTTATGTAGCGTTTCCCCTCCATCACCTGCGTAACCTACCATTCCCCTGCATAACCTACCATGCCTCTGTCTCATCTACCATGGATCTGTGTCCCCTACTACGATGCTTTATTCTTCGCCTGCTGTGGTCGTAAGTGTTACTTTTTGAAAATTAGTAATTACATGTACACATACAGCTCCTCCCCGACTTACGTCCACCCGCACTTACGACCTGCCTCAGTCGTACCAAAATTTTGTCAAATTATGTATTTTCGAGTCCCAACGTCAGTACACAGACAAAATTTTCGTTTGTAATTCACTTTAAATTGGCTGGCAAGCTTAAAAGTGTGAGATCTGTGGTGCTGAGAAGAAAAAGGGACACCCATTTTAGATTTTCTATGTATTATTTAAGCATTTTCGACTTACGACCATTTCGACTTACAACCTGGATTTGGGTCCCTAACCCCGTCGTAAGTCGGGAAGGAGCTGTATATGGGCCGATAGTTTTTTATTGTTGTATTTTTGCCTCAATAAGTCAGAATTTAGGATAATTCGGCAAAGCCAGAGCCCCATACGTGCTGAGTTATCGAGGTTTTACTGTACAATATGAAGGTGAAGGATAATCTAATTTTCAAATTTTATTTAGGTTTTAGATCCCTGGCAAATTGAGGTCCTGGGGCCTGGAAATTCATTTTTTTTGACTTGCAGACTACAGTGACCCCTCGTTTAACGAACGCCTCGGTTAACGAAATTTCGGTTAACGAACTGCCTTCCATAAGGATCTTCAATTCGGTTAATGAACAAAAATTCAGTTAACAAATTTCTTACGAACCGACCTCAACATGTTTTCGCTTGCACTGACCGGGCAACCAGCTTTAGTATCAGTCCGGCAATACATTAATCGGTTCTAGGGCTTAAATTCCTTACTATTTTAGTAAATATCAAGAAGTTTATACTATTCAATAATTTTAAAAGTTTAATATTCAATTTTTTAGTCATTTTAACAATTATTGAACATAATTGAAGGTAAAGAAACTAGTTTCTGGCGTGCCAGCCAGCCTGTTAACACACCAGACAGGCGTTAGTCTCTCTCTGTTTTCAGTGGAGGTAACATCTTGCTTAAGACTCTCTTCAACTAAACGCTTTTTTTCTGTGTTTCCAAGCAAATTATTGGTCATTTTGACATTTATTTTACATATTGACAATATATAATGCAGTGCAGTGTTGATTTAAAGAAAATAATCTTGAAATACACCAAGAGAACTAAAGTTTTATGGGTGAAATGGTGCCATGGAGCGACTTCTCTTCCACCCCAATGCCTTCTCTTCTTCCTTCTCCTCCACCCCCATTCTAATTCCCATCATCATCATCATCATCATCATCATCATCATCATCATCATCATCATCATCATCATCATCTAGGAGCCTTCTACATACACACCTCAAAGTAAGTGAACTTTTCTACCATTTTTGTTGAATTTAGGAAATTTTTGGTGAGCTGGAACCAATTACCCAAAAACCCATTGAAACAATGGTTTCGGTTAACGAACTTTTCGGTTAACGAACGACCTTCTGGAACGGATTGAGTTCGTTAACCGAGGGGTCACTGTATATTGATTAGCTCAGACTGATTTAGTTATCAAATTAGTATTTAGGATCATTCCCAAGATTTGTACTGAATTATAACTATTATTTTTTTATTTATTTATTTATTTTTTTTATCAGGAGGAAGAAAGGGACTGTTTTCATCCTCATTTATGGACGGAAATGAGCACATTGAGCTGAAGATTTCAACACTTCCAACTGTCAAGTTAGCATTAAAGAAGGTGGAGTTCCTGTTGTCATACATAAAGGAATATTCTGCAGCTCTAATAAGTATCTCTATTGTGTAAGGATAAACAAGGATTGTAGAGTTCATAATTTATTATTTTAAGGATAATTTGAAATTACTGTACTGTATTTGGATTTGATTTTCAGATTTTTTATTTCAGTAGCTTCTGAACTGAATTATATTTCATATTACTAACTTTTTTTTTACTGATGCTGTATAGTTTCTGCCTCTGTTCTGAAAGGATTTTATTTTCATATATATTAACTGATGATTGATATTATTTTTCGGTTGAATATTTATCCATGCTTCATTTGAAAACTGGTACAGTACTGTACTTTGTACTTAATATGTCATTGCCATGAATTTTATTTTATAACTGCTGTGCCAATGTGCTTGGGATTTCCAGGAACTCTCCACTTATACACCTGAACAATTTCCAGAAATCTAATAAGACTAGAAGATATAAATAGGATCACCCCCCCCCCCAGTTAAACCTTACTCCCTATAAATAGAGTTTAATTCTTGTGAACTAGCTGACCAACAGTCAAGAATTGTGAGAATAAACTGCTGTGTTCTCTGAGCTTGAGTTTTCTAACCCAAGCAGAATATAAAAGAGGGTGCATTCCCAGTTATTTCATAGCTGATCAGACATCTCTCATATCTCTGTGTTGTGGTAACTAAGTGATTTATTTAATTAGGTCGTATATTTGAGAAATGGACATGTTGGAACGTAGTCCTATGTATCAGTATACACCATAGGTATATGTTTTTTTGTGTTGCAGGAGTGTTTATGGTTGCTTAATAATATGATTTGTAGTGAACTGACAGTTATACAATTAGGAATATACACCATCCATATTTGTGTTTTGTCCACAACATGTAACTCCATTTTGATAACTGAGATGCAGGGTCTGGGATAGAACTACTAAGAGGAAATTTGGGTTTTCTTATGAGTTTGCTTAATAATGGTATGTCTGGAAAGTTCCTTTTTTGTAAGTAATGCTTGTCATCTTGCCTTAGGATATGTTGGATCTGCAGGTAATACGACAATTAAGTTCGCGAACTTGCCACGTGGCTCAACAGGCGGCAGCACTGTAATGAGCGTGAGTGGCGTGCATGTGACCTCGATCCCTTCTCTTACTACCCCAGTTGTGTCGGCGATCTCAAGCGAATTGGACGTGTGCAGTGGTAACTATTGTATTAGAGTGTTTTCTGGTTTTGTCGCTATAATGACAGATTGTTTTAGAACAAAGAACGGACATCAAGTTTCTCAAGAAACTAGGGAAAACTGGACCTAAAATTCGGGACATGTTAACCCAAGTTTATGAGGATAATGCACTAAAGAAAACATCAGTTTACAAGTGGATTAGGCGATTTTCTTAGGGAAGAGAAGACGTGACAGAACGATGACACGAGCAGGTTTGAGGAAAACATTGAAAAAATTAGGTTAAGTTATGCTTGCTAACAGGCGATTGACATTGAGAAGCATTGCAGATGAGGTGCAGATTGACAGTGAAACAGTTAGAAAGGTTTTGACTGAAGATTTGAAGATGAAAAGTTTGTGCGAAAATGGTGCCAAAAAATCTCATTGATGAACAAAAACAACGAAGAGTTGAAATTTGCTCTGACCTTTTGGAAAGAGAGGAAGCTGAAGATGACCTACTTCACCGAGTCATTACTGGTGATGAGTCATGGGTCTACCAATATGATCCTGAAACGAAATGCCAGAGCGCTCAGTGGAAAACTGCAAACTCGCTGCGCCCCAAAAAGTGTCGCATATCAAAGTCAAAAGTGAAGACAATGCTCATCACTTTTTTCGATTCTAGGGGTATAATTAACAAAAAATATGTTCCCCCAGGGCAAGTTGTGAACCAGTTTTACTATCTCAACGTACTTAAAAGACTCGGGGAAAAAATTAGACGAAAACACCCAGAACTTTTTGCTGGAAACTAGTGGATCTTGCTTCATGACAATTCCCAAGCTCACACGGTATTGACTGTGCGGGAGTTTTTGGCCAAGAAACAAATTATCTTACTGGAACACCCTCCTTATTCGCCTGACCTGGCCCCATGTGACTTTTTTCTGTTTCCTCCACTGAAGAAACACATAAAGGAGATGCATTTTCAAGATCTTGATGACATTCAGAGTAGCACAATGGCAGCTATAAAAGCTAGTCCAAAAATGTTTACAAGGTTGGAAGAAACGCTGACGTTCGTGTAAAGCATCAGAAGGGGAATACTTTGAAGGGGACCACAGTGCCGATCCTCAGTAAGATACGTACCAGCGCATGTAGCATGAGTTCGCAAACTTAATTGTCAGACTATGTATTCACTATTTAGGGATTACTCTGTTCTCTTTCATGCACAAGCAATTGGTTCTTCAGAATTTTGTTTAGGATCTGACAACTCATTATCAATGGCAAGGTAGTCAAACGGGGCATTTGGGTTATTTCAACCTATACCTGTTGAGACTTGGTTATCCCTCAACTCAACAGTTGTTTTTGTGTGCTTCTAGTTGTATCCAACCCATTATCACAAGTAGCACATCTACATAAAGGATTATAGGGATGCATTCCCCATTCTTTTAATTGTTCCCATTGCATTATATATTTTGCTGTAGTTTATTCCATTGCAACTGCTACTTCAAAATACTCCCACCACCACAGATGATGATATTGCTATTTGTAGTGGAGTTCATGTGCATGTACTATATTAGTGACTGATCGCAGGATCGAAACTCTTTGGGCTGGAGTGTAGCTAAGTTTATGCCATGGGGTTTTGGGTAAAAAAAAATTTGGTGTGAAATGCATCTTAACTTTTAAAGTTGAATCCTATTAGAAAATGGTTCCCATTTTACTTTTACGTTACTTTTATCCTCTTCGCTACTGATCGGCTTATTAGCTATTTGGGTGGTCAGTCATGTCTCTATTACGCACTGTTGGCAAGTACTGGGCATGAATTGGCACTTGAATGTATCTGAACCCACTCTCGTGTTGGTCAAGTCTGGTCTTGAAACAGCTCACACTCGGTGCTGTCACAACACTCTCTGGCAGGTTGTTCCAAGAGTTCACAATTCTCACCCCAAAAAAGTTTGCCTTCACAGTTTTTGATCACATTCTGGTCCATTGGCTGTATGATTGATGTAGTGTTGGGAGGCAAAAACAACACTTTCACAAAGTCAAATTGAGACTCCAAAGTTCTGGCAAGTTGAGGGTCATGACCAGGGGCATTATCCATGAGGAGAAGAGCCTTTAAAGGGAGTTTATTGGTGGTTAGGTAGCTCTTCACAGAAGGGCAAAATACCTCAACAGCCCATTCATTAAAGAGCTGTCTTTTCACCCATGCCTTACGGTTGGACTTCCAATAAACTCCAAGCTTTCCTCTTACCACTTTCTGTTGCTTGAACACCCTGGGGTTCTCAGAGTGGTAGACAAGCATAGGCTTCAGTCGGAAATCCCCTGAAGCTTTGGCACCAAGCAATAGAGTGAGACCGTCTTTCATGGGTTTATGCTCTGGTAAAGAGGCTTCATCTCTGGTGATGAATGTTCTTTTGGGCATCTTTTTCCAGAACAGCCCAGTTTCGTCCACATTGAACACTTGCTGTGGAAGATAATTTTCTTCATCCATCAGTTCTTTAAACTCCACTAAAAACTTTGCTGCCCCTTCCTTATCAGCACTAGCAGCCTCACCATGCCTAACTACACTGAATATGTCACTTCTTTTCTTAAATTTTTCGAACCAGCCTTTGCTGGCCCTAAAATCTTTAAATTCTGTGCCTGAAGAACCAGGTTGATCTGTCTTTAAATGTTCGTAAATCTCCCTGGCTCTTTCACAAATAAATTCAGTAGAAACTGAATCACCTTTCATCTGTTTTTCCCTAATCCAGATGAGAAGTAACCTCTCTGTTTCTGCAATTAGGGATCTACCTTTAAACACTCTGGTAGATTTATCTCTCACTTTCACTTCTTTAAATTTTTCTTTCTGTGCAAGAATTGTCGACACAGTTGATGTCGACATGCCATATTCTTTGCATAGCACATTTGTTCTAATGCCTTCTTCATGTTTTTTTTATAATTTCCTGCTTAACTTGGATTGAAATCGTTTTTCTTGATCTCTTGGGACCCATGCTGGATTCAAACAATCTCAACACGTGATATTTTAAGTTTAATTGCTGTAAATAAAGAATATTTTCTTTAAATTAACACTGCACTGCATTATATATTGTCAATATGTAAAATAAATTTCAAAATGACCAATAATTTGCTTGGAAACACCAAAAAAAAGCATTTAGTTGAAGAGAGTCTGAAGCAGGATGTTACCTCCACTGAAAAGACACAGAGACTGACGCCTGTATGGTGTGTTGACAGGCTGTTTGGCGTGCAAAAAACTAGCTTCCTATCCTTCAATTATGTTCAGTAATTGTTAAAATGACTAAAAAATTTAATATAAAACTTTTAAAATTATTGAATAGTATAAACTTCTTCATATTCACTAAAATAGTAAGGAATTTAAGCCCTAGAACCGATTACTGTATTGGCGGACTAATACTACAGCTGGTGGACCGCCAAATGCAAGCGAAAACATGTTGTGGTCGGCTTGTAAAAAACTCGTTAATCGAGGGATTGCTCGTTAACCTAAGTTAAGAATCTTATGGAAGGTAACTCGTTAACCGAGGGATCACTGTACTGTGTTAATCTACACCACGAAGATGCCAGAAAACCAGCTTTTTAAAGTGAGACAGATTGTATTCGTATGGAAACACAGAAGAAGGCAGAGCATTCCACAGTTTGACTGTGTGAGGAAAGAAAGAAGCACTATAATGGGTTATTCTAGTGTGACCGACATCCACAGAGAAATGGTAGGAACCGCGAGCAAGACGTGTGTTACGAGCCCACGGCCTTGCCGGCGGTACACAGGATGCCAAATCCACCAAACATTGCCTGTTAAAGTACCTGTAAAATAGAGAGAGTGAAGCAACATTGCGGCGAAGAGAAAGGGAAGAGAGTTAGTCGACTAAAGAAGGAGAGTTAATAAGACGAAATGCCTTTGATTCCACCCTATCTAATAGTTGGACAGAAGAATAGCCACCCCAGATATGAGGGCAGTACTCCAAGTTAGGGCGAATGAATCCCTTATATACTTGGAGCAACTGCTCAGGAGTGAAGTAGCCCAAGAACTTTAGTTCATTGTCAACATACACACCCAGGTTCTTTTTGCTTTCGGTCTCTAGTAATGCAGTTTCTTCATCCCGGTGAGACGTGTGATATTCCTCCCTACCGTTGGTACATTGAATATTACCAGCCATTTCTTCGACGACTCTTGAAGTTCTCAGAGATCTTTCTGTAACTTTTCATGGTCTGTTTGGTTCTTAATTTACCTGAATAACTTGGCATCGTTCACAAACATTTGTATGGAGGAGTGTATAGCTTCCGGCATGTCACTTTTGAAACAACCAAACAAACAACAATGGGCCCAATACACATGACAATTTCATACCATTAATCGCCACACACTGCTTGCGATCATGAAGAAAGCCTCCGATCCACACCAGGACACTTCCCCAAATCCTGTACCCTTCCATTTTGATTCTCGGCCTTTCATGGGGTACATTGTTGAAAATCTTGGCAAAATCTAGGTATATATTGTTGATAATGCTGCCCTGTTCCAGAATTTGGGTCCAAACATCCAGTACTAGAGCAATTGTGTTAAGTAAGAGCATCCCAGCATGAAATTGTTCGGGCAATCCTTTACAAGGATGTTTTGTAGTAGATATTCCATCATGGCATCTCTTATAATGCTCTCTAGTATTTTAAACACTTTGCTGGTCAGGCCCACTGGTCTATAATTATTCGTGGAGTGACGATCGCCTTTCTTGAATATAGGACTCACATAATCCATTTTCCAATTGCTGGGGACTCTTAGCTCATCCAGGCATTTACAGAACAGGATTTTCAGGGGTTCAGCAAGCTCGTTGCACAACTCTCTTAACACTCTGGGATGCACCAAGTCAGAGCTGGGACTCTTATGAACCTCTAGCTTTGACAAATTATTTCTGCTATCCTCTTCTGAGAACACAATATGGGTCAGCGCTCTGTCAAACCGTCTATCCTCAAATGCAGGAAGATTGTTCGTATCGTCCCTTATGAACACCAAGGATGAACAAGAACTCACCCAAGGAACACTTGTCAGGAACACATCTCACTCGTTATGTGGGACCTTACTGTATTCTTAAAACTATGATCAGAGGTTGTAGACACAGTCCTAACAATATATTCTGATCCTAGATCATAGATGCTATAAACATTTCATAATTTGTTCAACATTATATAGTTTTTCTGGTCCTAGATCATAGACACTCGTTGTCTATTCTGGTCCTGGATCCTAGACACTTTCATCTTATAACAGATGCATTCCTACAACACCTTGTGCTCTAGATAGGAAATAGTACATTGATGGTCAGTTATTATGCATTTGATCATCCAGTTAGGTACAGTATATATTTCTTTACGTGTGTTTGCGTGCTTGTATAACGTGTGCAAAAGTACCTAATGTGAACTCTCACAATTTCTGGGAAAAGTTGTCATAATATAAAAGGAAATCACAAGTGTCAAGAATTTGTAAAAAGTAAGGCTGGGTTTGACTGACTTTTATCCCAACCCGAGTATTAACCCCTTTACTGGTCATGGAAAAGAGGTAAGAATGGCCACACTTGTTATGTGATGCATTTT